GTATCCGAGGCCGACGCAGTAGAGCCTTCACCCTCGATCATTCGTGATGGGTTAGGGTTTCAGGGTTTCGGCCTCCGCCGTAGTCTATTCATAACCCACAAATTTTGGATACACCCCGGTTCCTGCCCAAAAATAGTCCTACTCTTCGGCCGGTTCAACTCCAAACCCTATAAGGCACCCCCGAAAGAGCTTTGGTAATTATAAAGGCCCCTTTTGTTTTAGCTGGGTGTAAGCGCGGTTTGAACAGGACTTGGGATCGGCATTGTGTTACCTGTGCTTTGCTTTCGATAGTTGCTGCTGCTCCTTGCGGTGTTTGCTCCTTCGCTTTCGATTTTTCTTTGGTGCGCTTTGTGTTCCTTGAGAGGTGCATGTTTCTTGCCTGTTGCAGCTTGTTTGTCCTAGTTTTCCTTCCCGCTGACCAAGATTAAACTGGTGTTCGACAGCCCAAAGTCTAAGCTGTAAGAGTTCGCATGGAGTTCCAAACACCCTACAGCAAAGTGCACATGAAACCACTGGAAGGAAGCTGAAGCGGTTCGCGAACATGAGAGAGCAAGCAGCAGCCAACAATGGGCCCGTCACAGCTGAACCAAGCCAGAACTTGGCCAAACTTCCGAGACAAAACGGAGCTCGACTTACTGTACCTGTCCCCGTCACACCTGGGAAAAGAGCAATGGTGCACCACGCCTAAGAACAAACAGCTCGTCTTGCTACACCTAGGAACAACTCCGTCTGTTTCGGGTTTGGGTGAAAGAGTTCAATGGCTCTGGAGCAGCAAAATATCTGTGTAGCCCAGTTCAAGCCCAAAACCGCTAAACCCCAAAGGCCCTATACACTTTATGGCTCACAAATCGAAATCACGGCAACGCATGAACCCCCTGCTCTATACAGTCCAAATGTTTAGCCCAAAGCTGTATTTTCGGAGTTTCACGAATCATTGGCAGTCGCACTGGTGGCAGTATCCGTTCAGCCCATAATTTCTGTCGGAAAGACCCTCCACATGCTTATCGAATTTGGTGTCTGCAACAGATCCATGCCGACTGTCAGCACGAGAGCGGCGTGCTCTGCAGAGTGACCTTGCTGTCGGAGGCTTCAACCGCTTGGCAGCTTTCGCGACAGGCGCTATCTGAGATGTTGGGTTCAGTGGGCCTCCGCCCAACAATTCAGATACCCTAAACCCTAAACCCAGTCCCTGAGCCTCAGGGGTAAGTCTTGGGACGCGCAGGGCATTAGAGCTTCAGATCTGTTGGACTTGGCAGTTCTAGCGTCTGGAAACTATGGCAAACGAACTTCAGCTTATGTTTCGACTTCTGTCTTCTTGAGGAGAGTTTCAGAAATGGGTAATACGGTAATACTGGGACGGCGTCTTCATTCTCGGAGGATGCCATCTTATTCCTGTGCAACATGAAACCTTCTTGGGGCTGCAGGGGATGTCAAAAGGGACGGTAGGCAAAGCAGTAGCTCGAGTGCGGCACGCCTGGATACTCCTGGTTTCGCTGGACAACATGCAGCGAGCCCCACGGTAAATGGAGTCCTCACCACTGCACTGAATCATTTTCGTCACCGAGACTCCTCGCTTCAGCCGGACTCCTTCTAGGACAAACCCTCAACCCTAAACCCTAAACCTTAGCCGTTCGAGTCTCGCAACTTCACCTGCGTCCCTTTCAGGTGCTGCTGGCGGCTTTGCGTTCGCGAACCCTGATGTAGACAATGCCAGATGCCCAGTTTGCCCAGCTATTGCAGCTGCTCTCAACTTGTTTTGAGTTTTGGGTGACGGCGCCCCTAGGACGCCGAGACTGCTTTTTGAAGCTTCCAGTGGGTTTTGGAATACTTGTTATGGCGGGGGGCAGGGGGGGGCGCGGCGATGATGACGACATTGTTACACAGACACCCCGAACAATATCTTCACAAGAGCCGTTCTACTCGGTATTTACAGTGCTTTCGTGATGTCGGACCCTCCTAAATTGCATGGCTCAACACACTCCGCTCCGCCACAAGCGCAACATTGTGGCTCGACACACTCCACCACAAACGCAACTTTGTGGCTCAACACACTCCGCTCCGCCACCAATGCAACTTTCAAGGGAAGAGCTGAGAGTGGAGTCATCAACTATCCTCAACACTTCGCAGCCACACACTAGTGCACACATGTGCTCGTCAGGTATCTATCCTTGAGCAGAACCTGTAGTCGTGTGCATGCAACACAAACTTTTGCTCCAAAATGTGTCTGAACGTGTGGGACAATATCGAAAGTCGTAGAAAAGTACACAAGGTCTCGGAGATTCGCACACTCTTTATCTGAGCTTTGCAAATCATTCGCACGTTTTCCCACACGTTTAGGCACATTGCGAAAGAAACTTTTTCACAAATCCCACAAAACACACGGCGTCCTACAGGCGCCCCCCCTGAGACTTCGACGGACCCTAGACCCTAAGCCCTGAACCGCATATTCTCAAGCCGTCTAAGCGCTAACCCCTCTAAAGTTCAACCTTTGTATAGTACAATTGGTTCTACTCTCAGAGTAACCTCCTCTCAGTACCTTTGAATAAGAAGCCCTGACCATCGTCCCTCAGGCCTGCGTGAACACGGGGTTTGGAGCACCCTGTCCAGGCCTGCTTCGTGTTCAGGGCATAGGGCTTCGGAAGCGCTCTGAATCCCTGAGCCCCTTTAGCCTCGTAATGCTTTCCATGCCAAGGTTGCAATGTAAAGACGACACTGCTTTGTTTTTGTTGGATTCTTCCGGAACTTGGGGCTCAGCAAAGGTACGACTTTACAGCGCATGGCTTGCAGGTATCGTTCGCGAAGCATGTGGTGTAGCTTGCTAGTAGTTTGGTTTTATGGTATGGCGTCGTGGGGTTTGGGATTGGGCTCGGAAAGCCTTGAACCTTGCTTGCCTGGGCTGCATGCAGTGCATGTGCGCAGTGATGTCTGCTCCAGTTTCCTAGGCCTTCACTTTGCCTTTGTAGCAAGGAGCCAGGATGCAGGCAGAAACAGACAGCAGTCCCACATGGAGACTTCCGAACATTGCTGGAAACCTCCATCGATGGCAATGTCAAGAAACCTCTCCACGAATCCGTTGTCACTTGTCGAGCAGCCTCATGCTTCGCGACCCATCGTTGCTGCGCAATGCATCCGCAGAGTGAGACCGACGCTCGGCTATGCTCGGCTGCTTGCTTTCTGTGGCCGGGTTTGATCTTGATGTTTTGTTCGCAGAGCTGTAACTAGCTTGCGCGGCAATAATATAGCCAAGAAGAAAGGTCTACAGTTTGGGAGTGCTTTGCCACTGATTCAGGAAGAGTCTTACTCTCAATTTGGCATGTCCCTTTCCTGGCGATCTGGGGCCAGCTGCTTTCGAGCAGTGTTGTTGAAAACAGGTTTAAGCACACGGACTCAGGCCCCTCGTGACACTGAGCCCCGGAACCCTAAACGCCACATTTACTTCAGAAGCTCGCCAACCCGATCAGCACTTTAAGGCACCCTTCCATCCGACAGAAAACCCTTCCAAACTCCCGGTCTGTTGGAGCTTACGCGCCTTTCTGACTCCCACATGCGAGGGTGGGGAGGAACTATTGGGGAGAGGGGTGCCTTCGGGTAGGGCCTGCCAATCCCGGTAAGGCGAAGACTTGCGAAGGGCATCCTGCGAGTGAGGCATCGGCGGGAATACTTAAGAGCAAGCGGTAATACTGTCGATCCCTTATAGTCCCAGTGTGGCTGCACTAGTATAATTACTTTAGAATATGTCACCGACACCCTGTTCTAATCATGAAGGTTGATTGTGGGGTTGCACAAGCACTCGCATTTCGTCTTCCGGGGGTGGCAGAGTTGTCGTTGATTTCCCGGGTTTGCTTGGCCTTGTGGCGCGTGCTTGTGTTTTCTGGTTTTGCCTGGCCTCTTATGCTGACTGTTTCTAGCTGTGTAGCCAACAGATAGATAGCCTTTTCTGGTCTCAATTCTTCGCTCGCAACCTGCCTTTTGCGAGCCTGCTCCCTGGTCGCTCACCTTCAGTTCTTCTTGACGGCTCCTTATACACAGTTTCTGTGGTGTCTCAAAGTGTCGTCTGATTGGTCGACCTTCTAATCTAAGCTTGCGGCTGTTAATATGGCCCCCCTCAGCCTCTACTCCTCGCAATTGTGGAGACCTCTGCATTCGCCTTGTTCGCTTTGTTTAGCGGCCTTTGAGCTTGTAAGGCCGACTATGATCTGGAAGACCCGCAGAGCTTGGCCGCATTCCTGAAGCATGCGGACATTCGTCTGGTCCGTGCGGAGTGCCTCGTTGCACATCGAGCTTAAGTGTCCAGGAGTTATCGTGAGTTGTTGCCTTCTGCTATTCAGCCTTGGTTTCAGTGCTGCTGAGTTGTTGTGCTTAGTTGCACTGCAGGTTAATTAATGTACCAGAGTACAAGGTTCAGACCGCACAGGCCTTAGAACTTAAAGCCTCATGTCCACTTCAGCCGGTGATGTTGGGTTGCAGCTCGCCACCGAGACGTTTGGGTGGCGCAGGTACTTGTACGAGCTGCGAAGCCAGAAGAGGCTGCTACCCCGACGCCAGGAAGCGGAGCAGCCCTCAGACCTGTTTGTGCCGGTGATACGGAGCATTTCATAGCATTTACAACCGGATCAGGGTTTAATTCAATATATCATGTTGTAGTTATAATAGTTCTGCAGGAATTACATACTCGTATGCGGAGTAGATTCCGGGTGTATGTTTGAATTTACTTCGTGCAGTTGAAGCTCCAAGCTCAGGAAGAGTGGGGCCTGGTGAGCCACGAGGAAGTGAGCAACTGGGCCGCCGGAGCCCGGGATGCGATGATCATATCGATCTCGCATGCCTGGGAAACCCGTGAGCACCCGGATCCCTGCGGCGACCAGTTGAGCCGGCTGGTGGGCCGCTTGTCTCTTTACGATGCTGCATACTATTCCGATATCTGGCTGTTTTACGATTACGTCTCTCTCTTTCAGTTCGAGCGGCAGACATCCGCAGAAGAGGAGAGCTTCCGACGGTCCATGAGTCACATGCATGTGCTTTATGCGCACGATTGCAACTGGACTTTTCGGCTGGAATGTCTCACGCCGGACGATGTTTGGGACGCCGTGCTGCAGGACTCGGAGCATCTGGTGACGGTGTATGATGCTGCAAACAAGACGGTCCGCGGCCGCCCCCTCAAGGAGCTGGTCGCCAACAGAGTCCCTTACCGAAGTAGGGGGTGGTGCAAAGCAGAGGTGGAGTGGTCCTCGTGCAGAAGCAAGTCCGAACAGAATCAGTGGATCGACGCTCCTGAGTCGGAGGCTGGCGGCGGATGGGCCCAGTTGCAGGGCAAAGTCCCAATGGCTCCAGAAGTTTTCGAAGAAGACATGAGGAAAGCCGAATTCACGCATCGAAACGATGCCGCGGCAGTGCTAGAGCTGCAGCGGAAGATCTTCCACCAGAAAGTATCGGAGTGTCGAAGAGCACTACGTGCACATCTGCCGAAGGGCGAGTTGAGCCAGTTGGCCAAAGCTTTGATCCACTACAAGAAGCTCAAGGTCTTGCACCTCCGCAACATGGACGTGGGCGCAGCAGAGGCCGAGGAGTTTGCCAAGGCCGGGGCCTCGCATCCTTCCCCTGCCAAGAGAAGTGTCTTGAAAGCTGTCAGGTCCTAGCAGTGAACAGCACGATCACAGAGCTTGAAATAAGTGTCGCTGGCTCCGCGCGGGCTGAGTGCGGGGCTTTCTGGAAGGCGGGATCGTATATGATCGTATCATCAGCCACGTGTGATGTGACTCCGACCCCGATGCTAGACAACTCTGTCGCTCCGATTCGTCAGGCCTTGGTGGACATGTTGAAAAGCAATGCCACCATCACTTGCCTAAAGCTCGGCTTCAACGACATCGGAGACGACTTAACTAAGGCCTGCGCTCCTCCGAGAGGTCTTTGCAGCTAGATCCCGGCCCTTTTCTCTGTGAGGCCTTAGCTGAGGCATTGGCGACCAACGGCACCGTCACCAGTGTCGATCTCAGGGGTAACAACATCACCAGCGAGGGCTGCAAGGCCTGTGCCGCCCGAAGGATTTTTTTGAGCATGAGCCCAGTCCGTTCCCTGCCAGGGCTTGGCAAAGGCGTTGAAGACTAACGGCAGCATCACCACACTCGACCTCAGACAGAATATCATCTTGAAGGAGGGCTTCAAGGCCGATCGGTCCCAACTAAGCATTTGCAGCTCGCATGCCCTGTTCTTTGCCTGCTAGGCCTTCACAGAGGCATTGACCACTAATCGCACCATCACCACCATCAACCTTGACTACAACGGCAGTGGCCACGAGTGGCTTTGGGCCCGGGGCCCGGGCTAGATGATGAGGCTCTGCTGCTTGGTTTCATGTTTCCCGCCAGGAGCTGCAAAAGATTTCCAAGACGAGGAAAGAGTCCACAAAACCCATTCTCAAAGATGCCGCTGCAGCACAGTCCCATGCCTCGGCCTGAGCGCGTGGCGATGTGTTGCAAATAATTAATGTGTGTTGTCGTGTTGCCTGATGTGTTGCCATTGCCCATCCTTCACCGGATTTGCTGCGACGGACCTGCGTCTTGAACAGCGTGACACCTGGAACTTCATACTGAGGCGAGGAAGACGCATCGAGGGGCTGCTAGCTTGGGAACTGTTGAGCTTCTGAATCGATTATCGGCTTGCCTATCTGACAGTCTTTGGCACGCCGGGGTTGCAGCATGTGTTTCAGGGCTGACTGCTTCACAACTTCATCAGTCTGGGGTTATGGGACACTCATGAAGCCTTCGACATCATGAAGCTCCCGCTGAGAGCCCATGTCAGCCCATGCGAATGTCTGTAGCCAGCAAGTTTAGCCTATAGCATTCCTGCCCTGGTGACCACTTGCGAACCGCAAACTCAACTGCTCGAGGTGTGGACCGGAAAAGTGCGCATCCAGGACGGCTGTTTTTTCCGAAAAGTGCAAGTAACGGACATGCTCCCCGGATGAACAGAGTTCCATATGCCAGACCCTCGCGTCACGGCTGACGAGCAACAGTGTCACTACCCACCTGGATTACGACTATCCGCACAGGGCCGAGGGCATCAAGGCCTTTGTTCCTCAAGCGGATGTTGCAAATTGAAGACCCCGGTTCGCTTCCCCTTCGAGGCATTGGCACTTGTTTTGAAGACCAACCGCACCATCACCAAAATCAGCCTCAAACAGAACTACATGAGCGACGAGGGCTGCAAGGCCTTGCGGTGCGCAGGAAGTCTTTTCAGCTTGTATGCCCCGTCGTTCCCCTGCGAGGCTTTGGCTGAGGCATTGGCGACCAACGGCACCCTCACCAGTGTCGACCTCAGTGATCACAACATCAGTGACGAGGGCTGCAAGGCCTGTGCCGCCCGAAGGATTTTTTTGAGCATGAGCCCAGTCCGTTCCCTGCCAGGGCTTGGCAAAGGCGTTGAAGACTAATGGCAGCATCACCACACTCGACCTCGAATCTAATAAGATCCGGGACGAGGGCTGCAAGGCCTGAGCTGTCCAGGATTCTTGGAAGCATCCCCTTGCTTGCGAGGCCTTGGCAGAAGCATTAAAGTCCAACACCACCCTCGAATTTCTCCACCTGCAGAATAATTACATCGATATCGCCGGCGTGAAGGCCTGTTTTCATCAAGCGGCAGCTTCCAAGCCTAGCCTGTTGCCCTGCGCGGCCCTTGAAGAAGCTGTGAAGACCAACCGCACCATCGTCAGGATCCACCTCGCAGGCAACCCCGGAGAACCCTTCAGCAAGGCGCATGTTCCTCGAAGAACTCTGTGCAGCACGCCCGGTCCCTTCTTTCCTTGCCAGGCGCTGGAATCGAAGATCCTTACCAACGTCATACAGAAGCGGCGTTGGCTTCGGCATGCCATACATCGGAATCACATCCGTGCCGATCACGAGGAAGATGAGGAGGAGGATGTTGAGATGGCTGCCGGCTTTTGCCTGCAACCATGCCTTCGGCTCTTGCGGAAAGTGGTGTGCGGCTGCCTGTGGGCAGCATGCAACAATGTTCCGTGATTGCGGCAGCGTAGCAAAGTCTGCGTTGCAACTTCGGAGCTGTTGGCACATCAATGCTGCATCTGCAGACTGCAGACAAAGCCCTGCCCGCAGCAGCCATCTAGATCCCCGAAGAACCCATTCGACAGTAGTACTTCTCAGGTGGCTCACGGTTGCCGCAACGAGCCCCTAAACCCTAAACCCTATAAGCCCTAAACTCCTAAACACCCACGCCGCCAGCTAATGCCAGGGCCTCGAAGCCGGTGATGCGGCATTACACTGCCAAGGAGCTTCAGACGATGACTGCCGGGGCCTCTGCCGAGGCTTGCGGCGTTTTGGGGTCTCGGGCTGTCACGTTTTTGGGGTCTAGGATTCAGCGTGGGATTCCTAGCGTAGGATTTGTGGTTTTGGGCTATGGGCAGTTTGGATCGATCCATACAGCGCATAAGCCTTGACCCACTTGTGGAGCATATAGGCTCTTGTTTTAGGTTTAGTTGAGTTTGGGGGTTCAGGATTTCGGATTGAGGTGCGCCTTTCGTCGCCGTCTTCGTGTTCGGAAACCCGGAAACCCCCCAAGACACCCTCTCTCCTGAACCTTCACCTTTGCAACAAATTTAAAATAGAGGGGCCTCAATAATTACCTGTACTGTTTTGGGGGGGGCTATTATTATAGTTTTATTGTACGTTATTATATTATAAAGGACTCGCCCTGGCGCCCGTCTGTGCCGAGCAAGGTCGCCTTGGCTCGCTCGCAGCGCGCCGATCAGGGGATGCTCGACGACATCTCCGCCCAGGCTTGCCTCAATCTTCCCACACTATATCTCGGGATAGGAGAGCTTCACTCAAACTCAGTTTAGAAACCTTCACATGAGGTGGGGTTCGGGGTTCTCTAGGAATATTGCTGAGGCTAACATTTGCTTCGATTCATCAGATGCCGATGTTTTTCACCCCTGAGGTAGAAAAAAACAGCAATGCTGCAGAAAGCAGAGAAACACGGTAGCGGTCGTTTGACAGAAGCAAGAAGTCATGATGTAAAGACCAGTATCACAAGCACATCATTGCGTCGCGATAAGATCCGTGAGAATCAATGGATCAACTGTCAACGTATGTCAACTTCTTCAATTCTGGATGCAGTCCTAGCATGCTCTCCCAAGAGGACCCATTTCTGTACCAAGCTCCAGCCGTAACTTTCCAAACACTATATGCCCCAAGACTCCAAACGTCACCTTCCACGCCGAAATCTTATTCCATAATTTAGCCGTTACGACCACTGGCTTCGACTGCTAACGAGGTGCCCTGATTCAGAAGTCAACCGACAGGCTCAATGTCGCATCGCCCAGTTCAGTGCAGAGCCTCTTGCGCTGCTGTTGCGAGGCCCAAAGCCTTCCAGTTGTTGTGCCTGATAAATTAGGCTGATCATCATGTTCGTCTGCCTGTTTAACCTCTGACATCTGGTGTTATGCACGCTCATTGAGGCTATGATCTGATATCATTGAATCGGGGACCTTGAGGTCTGTGGGGTTTAGGGCTTTGCAGGCTTCAAAGTCGTTGGTAATACCACCGGCTTTGGAACCTACGGCTTGTCCAGCTCTAAGAAGAAAAACCAAGTAACCAAGCCTTCAATCCTCAGTTTTACGTACCAGAGGCACTGCAAGGTCTTGGCACCGATGGTTCTTGTTGGACCGGGTTGTGACGAGCTCAGACGTATAATTAGGGTTTACTTCTAGGGGTGCTGTAGAGACTCAGGAGTGGAACTCCCAGAGCCTTACAGGTTCCAACCAGTGCGAAGCCTTTTCCATCCGAGCCATACGGCCCGAAAGCCTCAATCCGAATCTCGTCGCCGCCAAGCATGCCGCTGCCTGAG